TGTAAATGAAGTTAGAGAACACGTTTCTTGTAATAGAATATCCTGTAAGGTTAACAGTATCAATATTGGTGTAAATGTGAATTAAATCATTCTTCTGAAGCCTAGACATGGTAAAAATTAGTCATTTTCTCTTCTTGCCTTCATCCATCACATCATCCTGACTTCCCCATTTTCATCACACAATCTACCAGATTCTCAAAACTTGAAATTATGGACTTTTTTCCATTTCTTTTCTCCTTTTCCCACAGATGTAGAACAGTAGAGAACTACTGTAATGTTTTTCACAAGATATAATCATTAGGCTGTTAAGCATCTCAGTATTCTCTGGGCTCCAAGCATGGATCTACCACTTATTAGCTCTGTGGCAGCAGGTAGATTATTTGGCATTCCTAAGCCTCTCTTTCTTCCCCTGTAGTACGGGTTTATAGTGGGGATTAAATAAGTTTACACAGGAAAGCCTAACAAGTCATAAACTCTCAATAACTGTCAATTACTACCACCAGCACTACAGATGCTATTTACTATGGCTGCTGATAACAAATCTACGCTAACAATTTCTGCCCATGCAAATACTACTATTACCACTACTGCCGATACCATTACCACTTTACTACTTCTGCTGGAAAGAAACTTCAGTATCGTCAACAACAATAATTCTTCTTAAAAAGATCATTCTCAGTTCAGATGTCTCCAATTGACTACCAACTGCAGTATCGTGTTGGAATTCCTTCCTAATGATGCCGGATAAGGCTTTCTACGGGTTGTCTGCTGTCTCCTCATTTTGTCTTCATAGCTCACTACTAGGATGGCCCAGGTGTATGCCTCTCATCTGGGTAGAGTTACTGATAGCTTCTCTTTCCCATGCAAAAGTGTCCTGATTTGGATGCGACACTTAACACGGCCACCGTACCTGTTTTGCGTTTGCTTTGGCTTTCTGTTCTAGCCAGCAAACTATTCCTGCATAGTTCACTTGCTCTCCCTTTCAAGCGATTCCCCTTGCCTGGAATGCTGTTCTCATACCATTGCCAAATCATGAACTTTCTCTCCTTCAACATCCTACTCAGAGCTCAGCCTCAGGATGGAACTTTCTCTGATAATCTTGCCCTCCACCCAATCCAGAAAGCGCTCAGCAGTCATGTAAATAACTCTGTATAATTTTAATTGGCTCTGTTTATAAGCTGCTACTTGTATCTTTTTTTTCCCCCTCTAGGTATTTTTTTCTGTGTGTTTGTCTTGTCTCCATTAAGTTGTAAACTCCCATAGGGCAAGGCCTGAACACACGTTGGTGTTGGTATCAAGTGGATGAGTAGTTAGGACTGTACTGTTGCAGACAGTGCAAACATTGTTGATTATTAATCTATTAAAAAAATCCTTCATTAATGCTTTGTTTGTGGTGGCCCTGAGACTGCTGATCTAATGTGAAAACATATCTAGTTTCTGCTAGTGCCCAGCTAACTAAGATAAAATCAACAGTTACAAGCTTTCCATAATGTGAGGGGGACAGTGCAGGGATATTCTGATCTATCAGACTGGATATGAAAGGCATGTTACTCCGGAGACTGTTTTCTTCAGCGATATATACTTGTCTCTTCAAGGCTGGGGGCCCATCTCAGAAGAGAAATAATATTTACTTTCAAAACAGGTCTCAAAAGCAAACAAAGCCTCAGAACACATACAATATTTTAAGTTGTGCAGAGAGGGGAGAAAAGCATTTAATTTAGAAGGCCTTTAGTGTGTGTGTGTGTGTCTAACAGAAAATACCACATGGTCCAGCTCTCCAGGATCACTAGGTAAGTGGATTGTTCATTTCAGTCCTGGTAACAAAGGACAGTCTGGGCAAAGGGTCCTTTCTCACTGCAGGGGGGAAGAAGTGGGAATCCTTTTCCGTGACCACCTGCTTCCCTCGCTTCAAACCCGCACATAAAGTGCCAGATACCCGTATATCATTCTCGGCGCGGAGCCCACGGTATAAACCAACGTAGGCGGTGCACTAGATAACATCAAAGCCCCAGGCAGGGGCCAGAAAAGGGGGGGGGGGCAAAAAGCAGCCGAGGCAATGAAGCGCCTCCCCCTAGCATTTCCTCTCACGCCCACTTCCAACCTAGGAGGCTTTTGGTTTCTGCTTTTGTTGTTTTTAAAATTAAAAGTTAAACCCAGGAAGCTTTGGATCAGACTCTGGCGTTGCAGTTCGGGTAAGTTTTCTCTGCGTTCTTTTGTCTGGCGTCTGGCTTGGCAGTAGCCCGGGCGTGGGGCAGAGTTGGCAGAGCGGGCGGGGAAGGTTTTGTCGCCGGGTCGCCCCGAGGAGGAGGGGATGCGGCCGGTGGACGGGAAAGCCCGGCGCGCGCGGAGGGCGGAGGGCGGAGGGGAGGGACGGGCGGCGGCGTGACCCGGCGGCCGGCGGGGAGGAACCTCGGGGATCTCCGCGTGGCGGCGGCGCTGCCGGGCCGCGCGCAGGGCGGAGGGCCGGGGCCGCGGGGCCGCGCCAGGGGGGAGCCCGAGCCGGGCCCGGCCGGGCGGCCGCGTGGGAACCGGGGCTGGGGACGCGCGGGCGGCGGTGGTGGCCGGAGCCCGCTGGACGCGGCGGGACGGCCGGGTCCCGCGGCCGAGCCCCAGCGTGGACTCTTGTTCTCCCAAAACTGCTCAGCGAGGAAAATGTGCGTAGAGCCTTGCAGTGACACTGCCCTCACTTGAACCCCACTCCTCGGGGGGAGGGGGGCTCCAAAGCGTTCACACGGCCGGCAGGGAGATGCAGCCAGAGTGAAATGGGGCCCTAGGATCCCCTCCTTCCCTTCCCCCCCAAGAGTATGGTCACCTCCCCCATTGTTAGAATTTTTGACAGTTCAAACTGCTGTTCACCCTTCACATTTATTTTCCGGTTAAAAAAACACCCCCCCCCATTCCGATACTATTTGAGAAACTGTATTTAATTTGTCACAAAACAAGCCGAAACTAGCTACTTTACCGTTTAGCTGGCTTTTCCTGCGTTCTGATAACTAGGAAGTTAGAACTGTAGGCAGAGTCAGGGAAAATGGCATTTAGAAAATTCGAAACTAGAAAATACGAAACTGTTCCGTATTGCATGTATTTGAAAGGAGAGTTGAATATTGATTTGCCGCTCAAGAAAGTTAAATTGTTAGTCTATTTAAGAAAAAAGTTCTTTAACAAGCTGAAATGACAAAATTTTCTATAACTCCACAAATTGCAGGTTTAATCTCTTAGAAAGCTCCTAACAATGCCAAATCTCATATAAACATTGTGTTCATAGTGTGCATTAGTTATTGAGTTCACCAACTATTGGATTAAAAATATATTCATTCAGTTAGCATTTTGATTTAGCAAGTGACACCAAGTAGAATTAATAATTATCAAGCTACCTTAATCTTTATCTTCTGACAGATGAGGTATACTTTAACATTTAAATGAGGGTTTATTTTTTATTCAGATGACCAGTTGGACATTATTTTTTGTGACTGCAATCCATTAGATGTCATCTACTTTTATAAAAGAGAGATGATTGCATCACTTGGTAATTTTAAAGATCGCAAGGTTGGGAACATCGTATGCTAAATAACATCACTTCGAATTTAGGCAGTTATTGGATTATCTTTGCTCTTATGACCAATTTAGTTTTTAATAGGTATATCTCCCACCCACCCCTCCTTACCTAACATTACTTTTGGCTACAAGCTCGCCTTTACGGAGTATTCCATTTTTAATCATTCCCATTCTGGTGCATTAAGCTTTTCTTAGCTCAAACGAGCTAGAGGTAGGATTTCCTCGGGGGAATTTTCGGGGTCAACCCTAGAAGGAAAAGCCTAGATGTCTTTATGGAAGCCCCAGGGAACAAAACAATTCAAGTTTGCACAGATGGCCCACATAGTGGGTGTACGGTCGTTTAGCATTTTTATTCCTTAAAAGGGGAAAGCAGTTTGGTTTAATCTGAGAAATTTTAGGCATCAAAATGTTTGTTTTGCCTTACTCCTCCCAAGTTCATCGCGGTTCCTTAAACCAGTCACTTTTGGCTGCTTCCTTAGGTGTACATGTGCAATTTCTGAGCCCCAGATTTCTAACATTCTTTAGTACATCTCACCCCAAAAGACCTTACTCGATACCCTGGTCCAGCTCCTCCGGATTTACTTCCATAGATTACCACTCCTTGCTTCCTCTACTGCTTTCTAGCAGCTAGGGTCAAACTCTGGTTTATGGTAATTACTCCCTCTTCCTCGTCTCTCTTCTTCTCTGCGTCCCCGGAGCCGAGTCGGCTGCCCAGCACCGCACTTCCCTTTCTGACCCCAAAGACCCCTCCTCTCCCTGACCCAAGCTGTCAGGCGGACAGGCAAGGGTTAACCGCGCTGGCAGCCGGGGCGCTGGGAACCACCAGCCGGCTTTGGAGCGGCCTCTGGAATAACCTTGGCTTCCCTCAGTCTTTTAATAGAACATCCGCCACCAAAAAGTGGTTTCAGTTCGGGGTTAATAATATGTCCCCTTCCACCCTCCAAACCAACACCCCGCCCCCCTCCCTTTTTTTTTTTTTTTTAAGTTGTTTTTCAGAGTTAATGAGTTTCAAGTTTCACAATGACTTTCCCCTTCCCTCCACGCGTTGCTGAGGAAACCCCCTTGGGGTCCCCCCCCGCCCTCCCTTCTCCTTTCCCCTCCCCCATTCGGCCCGGGCGGGGGGCGGGACTGGGAGACCCCATGACGTCACTGGGCCGGCCCACATCCTGCTTTAGAAAGTAAAGAGACGGTAAAGAGAAACTACCGCCCCGCCCGTCCCCGCCCCTGTTCCCGGACCAACCGCCCCCAACTGCGCGACCCGGCCAGGCCTTCCCCGGGCCGCGTGACCGGCTGGGCCCGCCCCTCTGCCCCCGCCGGGCGCCAGTCCCCAAGCCGGCGCGACCCCGGGCTCCCGCCCCTCGCGTCCCTAACCCCGCCCCGCCCCCCCAGGGCCGCGCCGCCGCCTCCTCCGGCCCCCCGCCTCCTCCCCGCGGCGGCCTGGCGGGGCGGAGCCGCGGGCGGGTGGCGGGGGGAGGTGCGGTCCCGGGTCCGCCCCGCCGGGGAGACCCGGGGCTCCGGGCTCCACGCGAGCCCCGACCAGGACATCCGCCCCACTTCCATCCTGCGCAGGGCTGCCGGCCGCGCCTGTCCACTCGGGCCTCTGCGCTGGCGGTGAACCACCCCCCCGCCCCTCCCCCGCCGAGCCCCAGCCTCAGCCATTGCTGGGGGACGCCCCCTCCCCCGCCCGCGCGGCTCAGCTCGCGGCCTCCCCGCCTCCCGCCCCCGGGGATCCCCTGCGGCCCCGCCCACCCGCGGGAAAGCCTCGGACCTTCGCCCTCCCTCCCCCGCGCTGCCCGGCCCGCGCACCTCCCGTCGCCCCTAAAGACGCTAAACGTGCCCTACTCTGCCCTGGGGAGAGGTAAAGCCCGCGCCCGCCCTCCGCGCCCCGGGCCCCAAGGACCCGGGGGCCGCCCGCCCAGCCTCGCCGCCCGGCCCCCTGCCGCCCCCTTCCCCGCCGCAGCGGTCATGCCGCGGCCCCGGGCGCCGGCGAGCGCGGCCGCCTCCCCCGCCCGGCGCCTGCGGCCCCCGCCCGCGCGCCCCGCGCTCCCCCCCCGCCCCCCGGCCGGCTCCCCTGTTTAATATTTCAGCGCTGGGTGGTGTGAGTGCCAGTCGCCGGCCTCTAGTGTGGCTGCTGCTGGGGCGGCGGCGGCGGCGGGGAGGGCGCCGGGGGCCGGGAGCCGCGGCGGGAGGAGGCTATGTTTGTGTTTGGGGTTGTCAAGTGAAGGAGGGATCCCGGGCGCCGCTGCTGCCGCCGCCGCCGCCGCCGCCGCCGCGCGGGGGTCGCGGAGATTCCGAGCTGCGGCCGCCGCCATCAGCAGCGCAGCTCCAGGGCCGGCTGCAGCGGCAGCGGCTCCGCCGGGCGTCCTGGCAGCAGGTTCGGCGCGGGCTCCGCGGCGGGGGCGCTGCAGCTGGGAGGGCGGCGGGCGGCGGGGGGGGGGGGGGGGGGGGGGCGCGTGTGTGTGTGTGTGTGTGTGTGTGCGCGCGTGTGTGTGTGCAACCGCCGACCTTGCAGAGGGGATGGCTGCGTGCGGGAGACACTTGCCACTTCTGGGCGCCCTCGCCGCGCGCGAGCGGCCCGAGCTGCGGTCCTGGGAGGCGAGCAGGTACGAGGGACCCAGCCTCCCCACCCCACCTTCCAGCCGCAGACGCATTTTGCAAGGGGGGGGGGGTGAGGGAGACCAGGCCTCGGCTTCCCAACCTCCCGGCTTTGTGGCTTTCTTTTCCTTTCGTTCTTTGCTCCAAGTGCCTGTTTACTCCCAGCCACCTGGGTAGTTTCTTTCCGGGTTGGGAGTACGCGCCTGCAGCAGTTGGGAAGTGGGCGGTGGGTTTGGGCGCGGGTCGGCTCAGGCTCGCTCTGGGGTCGGGCTGGGGAAGGAGTTGCTGCTGGAGAGGGGAGGGGGCGGTGGGGGAGCCGGCGGCGAGGAGGAGTCTCAGGGCTGCCGCGCTCGCCTCATTTCGTCCTGCTCCTCCACCTCCGCCGCCGCCTCCTCCTCCGCCTCCTCCCCCTCCTCCTCCTCTTCCTCCTCCTCCCCGCATCCACTCCCGGCTCCTTCCAGCGCTGGCACTTCCATTCCCCCTCCTCCTGGCATGCAAAGCGCTTTGTTCAGTGCAGCGTTGCAGAGGGGTTTTCCCAGGCTCCGCCCTCCACATTCATTCATGTTTTTTCTCCTTGCAACTGTCTTTACGTTTTTTGATCCTGTCATGTTTTTGCTCCGTGTAGTATTTATTTTTTTCCTGCAAAAGAACGGATTATGACTCGTCCTAGCCCCTCCGGTGCCGCTGTCTTTCCCTATACTCACTTCCCCCCTCAAGGGTCTAAACATGGGATGGACAGCCAGGGACAGTGGGTAGGTAGGGAACCGGCTAAGCCAGGAGCAGTTACTGATTGGGAATTTGCATATTTTATATTTAGGCTTCTGATACGGGGTCACGTGATTGTATTACATTCGGAGTTCGCGCTTTAAGAACTTCAGATATCGTGACCATTTAAAAGCTTTTAGTTAAGCGTTCATGCAATTTGGCCCCAATGTCTCCGAATTCTCTATTGAATCAAGCTTTGTGAATCGGATGGTGGATGTATTTAATGCAGAGTGTTGAAGAACCATATCTTTTATAGATCATTTAGCACCGTAATGGTATTTGGCCGTCATATTTCGTATTCTTCCCCATGCAGTTAAAACAATTGCAAATAATTTTGTGCAGCATCCGCACATAGCCTTATCAAGGGTAAAATAACTGAAGTTAATTGTAGCCTTTGTTACTTCTGTTTTTTCTCTGCTGTAATGAAATAATAAATTTCCAAAACCTTGTATAGGGATATTAGATCTAGTCTTCCCCACATAGGCTTTCTTAAGGAGTATTAGTATTTGAGTGTTTTTGTGTGCCAGGCAGTGGGCAAAGCATCAACATTGTTTAGCTTAGACCTTATAATCACCCTACAGGGTGGATACTATTTCCTAGTTTTAGTGTTGGGGAATCTGATCTTCAGAGAGGTTAAGTACCTTGAACAAGGCCACACAGTAAAGGGTAAAGCCTGGCTTTGAACCCAGTCTGGTTTGACAGCAAACTATGTAGTCATGACCTGTGCCCTACAGCCTGTTGAATAAAACCACAGACTAGGTATGATCTCCGTGGAGAGTAACTGAGTCACATGGTACCACATTTTTTTGTTGCTGACAATGGGCAGGTTAGTCAACCCTTCTTCTCTCTTCTTGTCTATACAGTAGATAAATGATAGCTATCTTACGAGTTATTAAGATTGGATTAGGTAATGTGTAGAAAGTACATAGGCACCCCGCAGGTGCTTAGTAAGTATTCTTTTGTTTTTCTACAGTACTTGATATAATAGGTTTTAAACAGAGCATTCCCATTCCATTCTTTGTGTCTGCTTAGTGATTAAACATAATTTCATGTTTATTATCATTGCCTTGGGCTTTGCTTATCAGCATTATTCCAGGAAATGAAAACTCAAGTTTTAGCGTTAGGATTCTTGAGGATCTTGGGGAGGAGGAGAGAGAGGTGGCCGATTTGGGGATTTGGGAAGAGAGATAATCAGATTTGGGATTATTACCATTTTGGCATATTGGATTTCCGATCACTGCCATCAAAACATAGAAGTCAGGACAGACTAGGTTATGCTGCAGTAACAAATAACTCCCAAACCTCAGCCACTTAAAACAGCAAAAGGTCTCTTTCTTGTGTGTGCTCTGTGATCACCTTGGATTATTAAGACCTCAGCTCTGTGTTGCATTACTGTCTAGAACAGTGCCTGTCCCACAGCCCAGGGAACACAGAGTGCTGGAGGATTTTGCTTTGGTAACTGGATGCAGTGTGTGTCTCCTCCACTCACAGGCCATTAGCCAGAACTGGTTACACATTGTAGCTAAATGTGGGGAGGCAGAAAGTACAGCCCTGCGACAAGCCTCAAAGAGAAAGCTGGAGTAATGGGGGAGGGCAGCTCCGGTAGCAACCACATATTTTAACTGAATTAATTCAGCAGAACAAGATGAATGAGACATGGTCCTTGTTACCAAAGAGCTTATGGACAAGCAGAAGTATTATAAACGACATAACCCTTTTATAACATGATGCTACGCTTTAATTGTACCCTCTGACGTTACTTTAAAACCTACTTGAGTGAATCTTTTTCACTCTTCTCTGATAAGGTACAGTGATTTTCTGTTTCCTTTATGAGAAAGCCCAGATAGGGGCGCCTGGGTGGCTTAGTCGGTTAAGCGTCCGACTTTCGCTTGGGTCATGATCTCGCGGTTCATGGGTTCGAGCCCCGCGTTGTGCTCTGTGCTGACTGCCAGCTCAGAGCCTGGAGCCCGTTTCAGAGTCTGTGTCTCCCTCTCTCTCTGACCCTCCCCTGCTCATGCTCTCTCTCTCTCTCCTAGAAATAAATAAAACATTTAAAAAAAAAAAAAAAGAAAGCCCAGATAGTGTAGCAAAATGAGATGTCCTATGGTTAATTACAAGTTAGTAAGTGATCCTGTGCAGATGTCTCCAGCTTGGTTATCTTTTGTTGAGGTTAGGTTAGTGCTAACTCAGCCATAGCTTTAGAAATGTTTTTCTCCTTTGAAGGTAGTAAAATGTGCTTTTTTTCCCCCCGTTTTCAGCACATGGATTAATTGACGGATGTTGAGTTTATGGCACTACCTTTTTGTGACCTGCACTTCCTACAGTTTCTAAGAAGAAAAAGGGGCCCCTGAATCAAAGAAGATGCCTCGAACTAAACAGATTCATCCTAGAAATCTAAGAGGTAAGGCTCGGCATTACATAGAGGGATGGTTCCCAATAAATCTTATGATAAAATATTTCTTGGGGAACAGAAATGGCAGATGGCTGGGTGTCAGCCCTGCCCCGTGGTGAGTGCCAGGAAGGCGCCATTTCTCGTGTTCATGTCCACTTTTCCCGTGCAATTCCTGACTCTTAGGAAATGCTTCATAAATATTTTGTTGAATGAATTCATCCGATTTGACAGAATGACAATGCCTTCCCAGCCATCAGTGTGGGGATGAAAGTGATTTACTTCCTCTTAACAGGGACCGCGTTTGCTTCGCGGAATCTAAACGGAAGAGTCAGATGTTCTTTGCCAACCAGATGAATGTGAATTTTGTACCCCTCCCCACACCGCTTTTGAGATTTATCTCTGTGCTGTTCTGTACATTAGATGATCTACAAGTGAAGAGGGTAGTGGTGGACATTAACTCAGACCATTACTTGCCTGACCTGTTTTTCCATGAGGAGGCAGTGGTTCAAAATTACGTACATTATGTATATTTCATACAAAGGTGAAAAAATGCGAGTTTCCCCTTAACTGAAGAGAGATTTTAATATTAGGAAGGTGAGTTTATTTTAGCTTATTGTCTTCAAACCGTATGTTGTTCTAGTGTGTTATATCAACTGGGAAGAGCAGTTACCTTTTATATTCAATTTTAGTAGGGGAGGGTCTAGCAAGGCTAAGCAAAGAACCATCAGAGCAAATAATACTCCCCAACTGAGTCCAGTATCTTACAAAGTATTTACTATTACAGGCAAAAAAAAAAAAAAAAAAAATTCTCAGGCACACGCCAGGTGAAAAATAAAGATCAAACCAATTAATTTAGAATGTGTCTTTGGGAAATAAGTTTGGCCGGTCACTGCGAGGTGTAATTGGAAATGTGGTCAGTTTTGTGGCCTCCTTGAATCTGCAACAGCGCTGATTTCCCGCCGAAAAGGGTGCTGGGGCTCCCTGCTGGCAGAGTTGGCTGCCTCGGACCAAGTTCAAATTGATGACTCTAGAACCAGTGTTTAATGAGGTGAGGCTTTAGATGGAGAACATTAAGTCTTATGCGTCTAAGTCTGAGTTTTCAGAGTTCCTTAGAAAATGTAGAAAATAGACCGTGTATTTGCCTGTCTTTCTTGCCAGCATCTGAGCTCCTAAAAAGTAGATGCTTTCTCCCATTTACTGCTGTAGGCAGAGCCTTCCCACCCCTGGGTGCCAGCTGATGTGGGCATTTGGAGTCTTGGGCCCAGCCTTTATGATCCCGCCTGGGGGCTAAAGGAACCGTAGGCCCACACCAGTCCTGGCCGCTGATAGGAGCCCTGATATTTGTCGACAGGAATGCATGATTGATCTCAAAGTATTATTCATTAGGTCATAAATAGTAAACGTTTTTTCGTTATTTCATATATACAGGCATACCTTGGAGTTACTGTGGGTTCTGTTCCAGCTGACTGCAATAAAGCGAACATCGCGGTAAAGCGAGTCCAGTGAACTGTCTGGTGTCCCAGTTAGTGTAAACGTTACGTTTATGCTCTGCCGTGGTCGATGGATTTTGCAAGAGCACGGTCTTAAAAAATGTACATGCGTCAATTAGAACATCCTTTGTTGCTAAAAATGCTAGTTCTCATCCGGGGCTTTCAACGAGTTGTGACCCCTTGACAGGTACAATAACGATAACGAAAAAGCTCGAAATGTTGTGAGAATCACCGAAACGTGACACAGAGACACAAAACGTCCAGTTAAACACAGCATCGCCACAAACCTCCTTCAGTTTGCAAAAGACGTGATCTGCAGAGTGCAGTAAAGTAGAGCCCAGTAAAATGAGGCGTGCTTGCCCTTTATCACATTCTAGATCCCATGGCTGTCCAGAGAAATGCCGATCTCAGGCCACAGACTGTTTTCTTTTTTGCACCAAACATACAGCCCAATAGATAGTTGTCCAATGCCTTCAAGTGCCACTTTTCTAGGAGGTAGGGACAAAATGATACTCAAATGTAGACCCCCGAAAGAAGGGTGGAGTTGAGGGGAGGAGATGGTGAACACATACCTGCACCAGCGTGGTGAGGGAAGAGCAGAGGTATGGAGCTTCCCCAGAGTGGGGGCATCCTACTGTGCCCTCATGTGGGGGCGGGGCAGTTTGGCACCGGGCAGGGTAGGAAGAAAAGAGAAGCAAAGGAACCATCTGAAGTAGGTTCTGTTCAGGGGCCAAAGGGGTGGGAGAGGGTAGGAGATTGGAAGAGGGGAATTAGAAATCAGATCCTGAGGGTCCACTGAATCTGAGTCTTAATTAATTTTTAAACATTTATTTTTGGGTTTTTTTTTTTTTTAATGTTTTTCTTTGAGAGAGATTGAGAGACCAAGCATGAACGGGGAAGGGGCAGAGAGAGAGGGAGACACAGAATCCAAAGCAGGCTTGAGGCTCTGAGCTGTCAGCATAGAGCCTGATGCGGGGCTCGAACTCATGAACCGCGAGATCATGACCTGAGCCCAATTCAGATGCTCAACTGACTGAGCCACCCAGGCACCCCTAAATGTTTATTTTTGAAAGAGAGTGAGTGTGCATGTGCGCAAGCTGGGGAGGGGCCGAGAGGTGGAGGGGGAAGAGGATCGGAAGCAGGCTCTGTGCTGGCAGCAGACAGCCCAATGCAGGGCTTGAACTCATGGACCAAGAGATCACCACCTGGGCTGAAGTCAGGCGCTTAACTGACTGAGCCACCCAGGCACCTCATGAGTCGAAACTTAGTATGTAGACCTAAAACTTGGAATAGGAAAGCTTCCTTGTTTTCTGAAATGAAGAGGATTTTAAAGTTTTCAAAGAGAACTTGAACTAAATTGAGGTCTGGCCCATCAGTGAGAATTGAGCAAGTTGCTCCACTGAGGCAGTAATGAGCTCTCAGGCCCTGAAGAGTAGATCAAAGTAGATTAGCCAAGTGGTGAGACCTGCAGGGTAGCCAGGCCTGGGGCGGGGATGGGGTGGACTGACTGGGGGCGTGGCGCTGCGTGGAAGGGGTGTATCTGAGCCAGTGAGCTTACTCAGCAGGCAAGGATGAGGGTGAGGCTGTTCTGGGTGGGGAAACCCTAGGAAACAAAGGCACAGAGGCAAGAAGGTGCTAAGAAAGAACACTTTCAGAGTTTCTACTTCCCTTCCAACATGTATGTGAGGACTGTATCCCCAGGCACCGTTTGGAGGTTATAGTAAGCAGGTATGTCCTGAATTGTAATTTCTCTGCTATTCCTGGATAAATTCATTTTGCTGGTGTTTAAAAAACGAAAAAGGTAAGCCGGTAAATATTAGTGATGAAAAATGAATTTTTTAGCATTTATTTTGTACCTCGCTGTGACAGTTGAAATATACTGTTTGTTTTGCTTTCCCTGTCACCCACTGCTTTGATTGACAGAAGATGCGTTGTGTAAGTTAGCTATGCAATAGGGAGAGAGGAAATCAGAAGACCAGAAAGCGAGTCACAGCCCAGTTTGCTCACGCTGCTTAAAGTGCATTTCTTCATTTTAGGCCTCCTTGGAAAATAGTCTGTGAAGTATTTGTCTCATGTTTGGTAATTAAGTCAGTAATAAAAAGATTTATGCTTGAACTCAGATTATATGTTTATTATGCTTCCGTGGCCATTTTAACTCTTGACATATAATTTTTCTTTGGTTTATTCTCAGTTCAGCTGGTCTTAGATGGTCCAATGGGTATACAAAGCCGGAGGGTAAACTTAGTACAGCTTTCTGGAATGTAAATTTTATTCGGGGGAAACTCTACAAACGTATGCTTGTGTGTTCATGTATAAAAATATTTGCAAGTATAATCTATCATAGAGTATTCAAAATTTGTACGGATTAAAATTAGGCACATCTATGCTATGGTCCTGTGAGAGGTGGAATTTACACTTGTTCTATGTTAAGGTTCTTTAGTGGACAAGTGGGAAAAGAACTGATGTGTTAAGGGCAAGACAGGAGGGGGCCCCTGGGTGGCTCAGTCAGTTAAATGTCCGACTTCGGCTCAGGTCATGATCTCACGGTCCGTGGGTTCAAGTCCTGCATCGGGCTCTATGCTGACCGCTCAGAGCCTGGAGCCTGTTTCAGATTCGGTGTCTCCCTCTCTCTCTGCCCCTCCCCCACTCATGCTCTGTCTCTCAAAAATGAATAAATGTTAAAAAATATTTTAAAAAAAGGGAAGACATGAATTTGGGGCAAAACTGAACCAGAGTTAGAACTGATGGGGAATCCGTACAGGTTGTAGGAGGGGTTTGTTGAATCCTGGTGCCTCCATCCTCGACCCTATACACCAGATAGAACCTTTGTGGTTGTGCCTGTCTGCACGGATTAGGTGGGTAGAGTTTAAAAGGACATCTCCTCATGAGGCTGAATAAGAACTTCTGAAGAGCATGAGGGAAACACTTGGGTATTCAGACGAAAGGCTTTGTATGTTGTCCTAGGTTCCCTGGAGAAGGACTCCCAGGCTAGAACTCCCACTCGTGATCACCTTCGCCCGCAACCATTCCCTTCTGAACCCCCATGTCCCCTGTCCCCCCAGGTCATTGCTTGGACTCAGGTAACCCTGATGGAGTAAACGGGGACCTGCTGGGATTCTAGGTCAGTCCTCTTAAGAGAAAGGGCTGTTTTCCTACCGTACCAGTCAATGCTTTGAATGTGTTTCAAAACTTGGGGGAAGAAAGAAAATAGGCGTTACCTATTTTAGTTGAATTTGAGCCTAGGGTTTCAAAGACTGATCTAGTTGAAGATAGGAAGTCAGAGTAGAAAATAGCAAGTGTTAACCTTTTGCAAAAAGGTGAGTTTTATTAACCTTCTGCAAAACATATTTTGGGAATCTTGGGGTGGCTGCTTCTCATTTTTATTGGTTGAGTGCACTTGGGTCTAAATGCCTGGCTTTATTATGACATGAGAAGCAGAGGGTGAGGTCCACCCATGGGGTCTGTGGATGCCCATCAGCTCCTTGTAAGATGAGGCCCAGAGTCCTGGGTTTGGCTCCA